TATTAAAGCACTAAACTAATTGGAATAAAATGAATTTAAAATGAATTCCATTTTCATTTTCTTAGGTCATTATTTTTTTATTCTTTTTATTTCATATATTTTATTTTTTTGCGTTATTTTATCATTTTGAAATATTTTATTTAATGAACAAAAGTTTAACTATAATTATTTTTGAGTGATTTTAAAAAAATTTATTCAAAGAAAAAATTGAATGATTTTGTTCGAACGCCGTGTCAAATGCCAAATATGAAAATTGCCTTTTTATTCCGTTAGTGGTGGTGACAGTACAATATTTTATATTAAATCAGGATGAACCATTAATATGGAAATTATTGATTCACAACTGTTCAATTTTTTATTATCACAACAGCCATTTCCCATAATGATCTGAAATTTTTTTTTTCACTATCGAACTGTTTTTTAGACTAATATTAACAATTTTGAACCAGTCATGAGCGAAAATTGATAAAACAGCCAAGATCACATCGCTATTGGCTTTTCTTTTTTTTCTTGCAATTCGCACTAATATTGGTTAAGGTAGTTCAGCTAGCTGCAAGAATAAGACATTTTCGCTCAATTCAGTGGTAAAGCTGAAAGTTGACATTTCCTTTTTGATCGTCCGATCTCATATATCAGTGCTAGGAAGTCTATGCGTTCAAAATCTCCCCAAACTGTATCAGATCAGGTCTTGATTAGTCTTCCTTGCTTTTGCCAATTATGACAGGGTTTAACAATTAGCAAAATATGCGCCGATTATAACTCAGCAAGCGGCATTCCAGTGTTTTTCAGTTTAAAAAAAATACTTGGTTAATTATTATCATTTTCTTTTTCCCAGATCCTTATTTTTTGTACCATTTTATTTTTTTTCATTATTTTATCATTTTGAAATCAGTAATATCGGAAATTTCGCAATTGTATTTTCTAAAATCGTGTCGCCGTTGTCAGTTTTTTCAGATTGTTAAATAGGCTTTCTTTTGTTATGATTTTGGATAGTCATTTCTTTAGGATATCGAGTTTTTTAGTCTATAGTTTTTACTTTCTAAAATAAATTTGTTAGAAATTGCTGAGAGTTGTTGTTAACAAATTAAAAAATAAAAATTGTCATTTGATTAAATGTTTATGCTTTTCAAAACCAATAAAAATTTAAAATATTGTTGGTAGATTTATTTATTTATTCATCTATTTTCCTAAGTAATTATGTATATTGCCTTTATTGTATTTCATTTAAAATCTTAGTAAAATAATAGAAAAAAAATTTTAGGTTGATAAGAAGTATGATCCTCGAAAGGGTCTTTTTGATAGACTGGTTCTCGAGACGAATTTTTTAATGACTGGAGATAGGCTGAAAACCATTTTACTTAAAATGATAATCTGTCGCATTTCGCCAGTCTTTTATTAATGTAGATAATGTAGATGCTTGAAATGATCAGTGCGAGATAATGATAAGAGGCAGTGAAATCTGATCAGAAGTCAAGTGAATATCATTGAAATGGTTCTAAACAATTCCATTTCTTTCCTTCTTTATTATATTTATCTACAGCAATTCATTTTAGTTCCCTTCTTTATTATTTCATTATCAACTCAAAGTTTTAATTAATAACTCCAATCTTTTTTGCTCTATTTGCTAGATAATACCCTACAATGATTTTTGACGATCATTTCCTTTTTAGACGATTTTTTTTACATAAAATGATAACTTTAAAATGTTGAAATTCATTTTTTTTTCGCAAATTCCGTACTGATCACTTTTAACTCTTCATTTATGTTTAGCCTATATCGAAAAGGTCGATAAAAAATATTAAAATTCTTTTTTTCATTTAGGTGTATGATACCTGTGATGCTTAATGTGTAATATGCGATTGAGATAATACCTGATGATTGTGCTGACTTGCTTATTTTCTATTGAAGAGTGCGTTAAAATCTAAGATATTTTAATTGTTTTTTTTGCAATAACTTTACTTCATTAGTCCATTTCATCTTCTTTCATTACTATATATAAATTTTATATATAGTTATATTATATTATATTATATTATATTATATTATATTATATTATATTATATTATATTATATTATATTATATTATATTACAATTATATTATATTATATTATATTAATTATAATTATATTATATTATATTATATTATATTAATTATAATTATATTATATTTATAAATTAATCGTTGCCAAATGCCAAACTTTTTTTTTTGTTGAATCGAATCGAAAATTTCGATTAAAAAATCACTTATTAAAATCCTTTTTTTTATATCATGAAGCTAACCTATGACGATTAACGATAGAATTTCAAAAATTTTCCATAAAATTTAAACTAAGCGAAAAAATAAAATGCAAATAATATTTGAGTACGAAATCCATAAAGTTACTTACTACTATTGTCATACCTCACGGCATCCTTCCGAACATTTCGTGTGGAATCGCAATCATTAAATAAATTTTAATTGTCTTTAAAAGATTTTTCCATCTTAGTTGAGAAAAAATTGCAGTAGAACCATTAAGATGTTTTATATTATTGATATTGACATAATTTCTATGTAAGTGATTACACCTCACCATTTCCAATTAACTGATGGTTATTAGTACAATTAGAAATTTTTGCCAGAAAAATCATTTGGCCATAGAATTATAGGTGGGTTACTGTTCGCTTTTTTTAATAATAGGTTTTTTCCTGTTAGACCAGGATTTAGTGCTTGACGTAGTAATCAAAGCAATCATCTACTTGGCCACACTCACTGTGGTACTTTTAAATTTTATTGATATATTTTTATTGATTATAATATAATACAAAATGATAATATAGAAAGAATGATGAAATAACGTTAAACTTTACGAGGATTTCTCCTATCTTTTCTATGCATAATATTTTATATTTGTTCAACTGGGGGATTTTTAAATGCCATCACCAAACGATTTTTATAGCATAATTTCTTTATTCCATCATATATTTGAGCAATTCGTTTTCAATTTTGCTTTTTTTTGTTAAATTCCTTCCGAAGAATTATTTAAAATTATTTTCAAATTTCGGCTTTCCCTTATTTTGAAATTTGTTGTATTTTGTTTCACTGTTATTTGAAATTCAATAATATAAAAAGATTAAAATAATTTGAGTTAGTGACAATGAGTATGTTTTTTTATTGTAATGAGATTATTTCGCCTTCCGGTTGCAAACTTTTTTTCCTTTTTATTTGCTTGTTCATATTTGGTTGGTCAATGATATTTATAAAATATGAATTAAATGAATAATTTTTAAAGAAAGTTTCGAATTTCAGTCAATTAATCGCATGTGAAATTAAAAATTCAGCATTTTACAGCTATGCGAGCCTTTTTCGTTCGATATTTGTTCATTTTTTCATTTATTTATTTGTTTATATATAATATTTTTTAGTTATTTATTCGATATTTGATGATTTTAAACCTTAAAATTGCATATATGTGATAAAATATGGAAAAATTGAAATATTAATCGGAGACATCACGAATATTTTGCATTATTTTTTCATCGTAATATCATGATGATAATTCTTTAGGAGGAACAATAAAAGTCCAGATTTTATTTACAAAAAGTATTTATCAATAAAAGTGATACAAACGAACCTGTTAAATTATTTCAGCTGTACTCGTTTTAAATTGCATCGCAATCATTATTCATTGAATCCTTCTAATAATATACGCCATTATTGGTTAGGCTCCACAGGACCACAAAGGTGAGGCATTTCTAAGTCTTCGATGCGATGTGATATCTTCAAGTAACAAAAATCACTCTTATTGTATCGACTATATTTTTATGCAATTAAACTGCTTATTTTTCGAAATCACCTCTGTCTGTATCAATCACATTTTGATTGAATCTTTTCGCTTTTGATGCCATGCCACAAATATTATGCGCATTCAAAGCAAATAGATGCGCTAATTCGTGTTGATTTGATGTTGATTTCTGCATTTCTAAAAAGCTTTCATCAGGCATAAAAAAGTATTTCTGATTGTTAGTGCTTGAAATGCAGAATTAAGATTTTTGATTCACGAATCATAGATTTGTTATCAAATCTGTTACAATCGAAATATTAGACCAATGCCTGCAAGATACAGACGGTTGTGATAATGTGAAATTATCCTCATATTTGCCATCATCGAAAATTTTGCTCGAATGTTTAATGTTTTCGGAAATTTATATTTCTTTTATTCTATTCACCAGATAAAATTTGGCTATGAAAATATTTTAATAAAGATAGAGGAACTTTTTCTGCCATCTGCTTTTTCGCTCTTTTTCAGTCAACATGAAATTTGTTTTGAATTTGTTTTGTTGATATGATTTAATCTTTCATTACTTTGGACCGATCACCTTATTTCCTTCATTATTTACTACTTCTTCACCATTTTAACGAACTAAAAATTTCACAAAAAAGAAGGTGCAACTGGATAGGACTAAGCTACTATTTGATTAAATCTTCAAGCTACTATGCAATCATATTCATGTTAAGGAGTTTACTTAATGAATTGCTTCTAAATTTTTTTGCAAATTTTAGTCAAAATTGATTTTAGACATCGTGACGAAACTGTAAAAAACAACTACCACATTAAATGTGGCTCTTTAGAAGGATAAAATGGCGTCTTCGATTTATGCCAATCAATTCGCTTTTTATACTGTGCTTCATAATGATAATTTTATTCACTATTAATTTCTTGAAAGAATATACGACAAACAGAACAAATGAAGTGAGCTTCTTAAAATCCTACAAAAAGTTTTAAATTATTCATAATTTTGGTATAAAAATATATGAGCGCTTTTGATTTATATTGTATCTTTTGAGCAGTTTTATGAACAAATGTGACACGTCAGTGGCGTGTTTAGATTTTTATTTGTCTGAACGAATCACACACCAATTTTGTTTGATAATTCAAAGTTATTGAAAAAAAAAACTTTTGAATTGTAGGAAGTAAGTCATTGGAGTCACGCTATTGAAAAGGAAATTGATGGGAGGCTTATGAATTCAAGGGAATCCAGATTAAATGAGTGGAAAATCGCACCTAAAAATCTGGAGAATAACATCCTTGAAACTTTGAAACGACAGACAAATGAGGAACAATATCAATATCAACTGAATGAATTCGAAGTTGGCAAACTAAACAAAAAAACTGAGTTGGAAGTTGGCGAACGAATCCAGCATGAATCAGAAGTCTATTTCGTTTTTGATCATTTAAAAATATTTTTTTAGAATCGCATTATCTTTATTTGCCATTCCGTTTACAGCTGAATCAATGCCAATGGTGCCTAATTAAAATCGATGCATTTGTTTTCTTCCAGATTTTCCTTGCAATAAAAAAGCTTAGTATAACTTAATAAAAAATAATGTGTATTATACCAATAGATATTTGGAATTTTTTGCAATGATTTTTCGCTAATCTTTTCAGTCGATTTTTTCACCATTTCCCAACTTATTTATTTTTTACTTTTTTGTGTGAACTCATTTATTTCAGAACAAGTCTTCGTTCTATGAAAATCGAATTATCCATTTCGATTTAAAAGGTGCTGCACCGAAAATAGATTATTTGAAAAAAGTGTTCAAATTAATAGCTGATGCTGGAGCGACAGGTCACTTATTATCTAATTAATAATTATTTGAATAAAATTTCGCATACATTTTTACAAATAACTTAGATAATTCTTTGTATAAATAAGTATAATGCAGCAATAAATAAAATAATTTTTATAAATAAATTAAATGGGACAATTCATTTAACGAAGTATTCCTCTATAGCATTCTTCTTAAAAGTGTTGATAATATATCAGATCTTGCTATAAACATTGATAAGAATTTAGAATTTGTTCTTCATAGTAGGCTAATTGTTAAAGAATCTAAAATACTCGATTTATCACTAAATACTTGCAAAAATGAATACTTAAATACTTGCAAAATTTTTCCTTGTTATGGACAAGACATTTGTTAGGCCTCACTCAGAATAGAGTGCTATTTGCTAAAGATGAATAAATTAATCGAAGGTCTACAGATACACTTTTTTCGTCGTTTAAATCCTAATCATTAGCAATAAGTCCAAACTGTACAACTTAGATTCCTTGGAAATTAAAGGAGTAGAAGAGGATGTTGTATACTCTTGCAAAATTTTATTTTGCCATGCCAATCTTACAGCAAATAATGTAATTCTTGCTTAAATTTTGACTTTTTTTGACTGTTAGACTGTTTGACTGGCATGGAATTCAAATCCTAAATTCAATGTTTACCAAGACAAGTAAGATATGTTGTTAGAATTCTATCGATGTTTGTCAATCGAAAGCCAGAGTCTCTTGAACTGATATATAATTTATAAATTTATCTAAAGCATTTTAGTTTGCGTATTTTAAAGTTATTAGATCACTTTATTTTATCGTTTTTTAACAATATCGGTTTCTTCCATTTGTATAAATCTCGCCGTTATCGGCAAACATATAAATAATTGAATTAGCTAAAATACTGGTAAGGATTCTAACTAATTTATAGTATTTGCCTAAAAATTAAGTATAGCAGAAGGCTTAGAGAGATGTAATTTTTAAAATATTTTAATGACTATATTGCCTGGTCTCTATACATAACGAAGGTTTTGAGTAAGAAAAATTATAGCGATATAAGTATTAGTTAATTTTTTCTGTTTTATTTCTTTATTCAACTTCTTTTATTGTTTCAGTATTGGGTTGTTATTTCTTATTTTATGCCATTTATCTAAGCGCATGACTGCATGCTCTGCTTGATTCTTTTACAAATTAATCAATTAATAAGATGATAATGATGGATAATGGCATTTGAAGTAATTATTAAACATTAAATTAATTATAATTTTATAATTTTATAACATTGATCATGAAGTTTCTAGGAGTTCTGATCGAATGGGAAGATATGTTTCCGTATACAGGCATATTAAAAGATAGTCGCAGCACACAGGCATACACTTTATCAGAAACTGAAGAAATACTTGCCTATGCAAATAATCTCCAACTTACAACAATACCGCTTGTGCAGACATTTGGCCACCTCGAATGGATTCTAAAGTCTGACAAATTTATGAAATACAGAGAAAACGAAAAGTTCCCACAGGTTTATTGTTAATAAGGGTAATTAATCATTTCATGTGCCTTAATGATTGATAAGAGATATGGGTCTATATGAAATTTGAATTTGAAAACTATGTGGAAGTAGACAACAACACTGTAATCAAGATGCTCTGTTTATATCAATATTTAAAATTTCAGGTTATTTGCATAGGTGATGAGGAAGGAGTTGGCCTTGTTAAAGAAGCCATAAAGCAAGTTATAAAAGTGCATGAAAAATACGGTGTTCCATTTTTTCACATCGGCGCCGACGAAGCTTTTGAGGTAATTTTTAAAAAATTTGCAGAACAGTATGAAAAAAATGAACGAATACCATGAGTATTCAAACAATTCTAATCTCTTGAACTTGCCTGGCACCTGGATAAAGTCTCATTTCATATCGGCAGTATATTTAACACCAAATAGTACCATATTAACGGAATTCGAAAGAAGATAATAGTGGTAATAATTGAATTATTTCTTCACATTTTTATGCTAGGAAAAATGCTATAAGCATGAAAAAAGGCTAATAAGGATAAATTTTTTTTCTTTAATTTCCAAATTTTTTTCTATGAAAATAAATTAAATGATCATTAAAAAAAATGTCGGATGTAAAATGTCAGGTCAGGCGGTTTGGAGACATCCTACCCTTGTTGTCACTGGAACCTAACCAATAATGAGAGCTGTTAGAAGAAGAAGAAATTAAAATTAAAATCAATCTTACAATATTCTTCCCTCTCTGTCATCAATTTCTTAAAATTGTAAAAAAAAATTTTCTTTGTAGATCAGATCTGATTAAAATTTTTGGACTGAATTACAAATATTATCCTTCCGAATAAAGATTTGGGAAAAAATTTTAAAAAATTTTCATTCGAAATGTCTAATTTTTAGTTTAATGTTTGCAAAAAAGATGTAGAATGGGCAAAAAACAATTCGCACATAGGTAGTGGCAAGCTGGCTCCTTTCCATATTTCAAAAATTGCAAATTATGTTATTTCGCTCATTCCTGGAGTAAGGTACGTTCCTGCGCTACCATATAATTGTGTTATATCAACTATTAGTTAATTATTATATTAACTTTTAGTAGAATCAAATTTTTTATGTTGTTTGTCTTATCGATATAATTCATTTCAAATTAATCATGCTGATGATGATTTTTGCAAATTTATTTTATAAAATAATGGACAAGGATTGCCTTTTTCAATTTTCAGTTCATTCAAGTATTTAGGCTTTCTGTGACTCCATTTTATAGAATCGCTATCACTTAATTTCAATGATTATTAACCCAAACTGATTCATAACAAAATTTCTCTTAACTAATTTGCAAGAAGAAAATTAATTCAAATTCCTTTTACTTTAAATCTCCAATCATCAATCTTTAGAACAAGAAATTTAATTTTCGCTTGCAGATTGGAAAATAGCGGAGTAACCGCTTTTCCGCAATTCCTTCTCGACTTTTTCAATTTTTTTACTGGTTGCATTTTCAGAGTTCTAGCCTGGTATGATTTGTTAAAAACATTTAGCTTATCCACTGTGCAAGAATTCAAACTTGACACACTTCTCGAACCTGTTGTTTGGGATTATTCTGAAAGCCTCATCCAACAAAATGGTTTCACTTTTCATATGCATTATAAAACATTCATTAAATTTTAGACAAATTTTTTATTCGTAGAAGATGTTAACATAGCGAAAAGCTTATAATTATTATACTAAAATTAATGAAACAAGCAAAATATTATATAAATTATTATTTTATTGGATGCTCCAATTTACAGCTCGTTCATGGACACTCCTTAGCCATTTATTTCCAACAGTGTGGGCTTCATCTGCTTTCAAAGGAGCCAATACTCCATCCTCACAAAATCTTGATTTAAACCATTATATGAGGAATAACCAACAATGGATTTTGCACAAAAGAGTAAGCAAATTTGACAATAACTGGCTTTCAATTATTCCATTCTTAATAATTGTTACATAAGGAATCGAGATTTAAAATACTAAAGGTTTTTAAAAGATTTCCGAAATCTCATTATACAGCTTGGAAAATTATAGCTTTATGGCAGACTTTTCAAAAAGAATTTTCAAGGGATAATTATTACTGGATGGCAGCGCTATGATCATTTCGCCGTGCTTTGTGAGCTTCTTCCAGTAGGTTTGCCATCGATGATCATCAATCTTCAGGCAAGTAATGTCAACATCTTCATTCAGAGATTTTCAGAGATTTTCTCAATTCATGATGTTGCAATATGTGAATATGACATGGCATGATAGGATTGTCGAGTTGCTCCTCTAAATTAGACCATTAGAAGGTTCCATTATTGTCCCTTGGTAGAGGCAGACATTAAAAGTGGGATTCGAGCAATGCCATTGCCAATCGTAATTTTGGACTTTCGTGTGAGAGGTTGACATCATAATAAATAATAAAACAAAAAATAATGAGTACCATTTGAGAAGAAATAGGAAGTTTAATTTTCTACTTTTTTCGGATTTACCTTTCAGTTATTTTGTCATCCTTTTTTTCTTTTTTTTCTGGTACATATTGAGTACTAAACGAATGATATATTATAATTACCAAACTATAGTAAAAAAACTCAAAAGATTGAGAAAGATTGAATAAATGAATGATTCAGATTGCGTCAAATGGAAATGCAACAATAAAAAATGGAACATTTATGCGAATAAAAGATTTATTGAACTGCTCATCAGGATTAAATCACTTTACAGAGCGTGGAATTGCTGATTACTGCAAGTTCCCAGGTTTACATTCCAAGCCACTTAAAAAATGAGCAACTATACGAAAATTTTAATTTTGTCGAAAATAGAAGTAGATTGTCGAATCTTGATAGCAAATGCGAACAAAGCGATTGGCAAAGGTTATATAACGATATGTTTCATGCAAAATTATTGCGATTAATTTCAGGATCTGAGGTATATCGAGAGATAGAAGTTCATTTTAAAAATTTGAACACAATATGGACCAACGATTTAATCAAAGGATGGTTAGGCCGAATGAATACCTATCATAACTTTTCTCAAATGTGGTACTTGATTCAAATTAAGCCGCTATTGGAAAATGAACTACAAAAAATTTGTTTTTATGAAATAAAGATGAGGTTTATTTTCGAATATGAATTATAGATTACAATTATTGCTAATATCGTTGCAAAAATTTTGAATTAGGAACATTTTTCTGTTTAAGATGGCTCTGACTTATGTTCTCAAAACTGACTTGATTTTTCCCGCTACGCACTACGCCACTTCTTTTCGTTAAAAGTATTGAAAACAAAGATAGAAAAGATTTAAAAAGGTCAACAGTGCGAATGACAATGTCGATACAAAGGCCGGCACTTGTTGGTTGTCGGCTTATTTCCGACAATTAACCACTTGAATAATAATTGTTTCTCATTATTTCTTGGAGATTTGATTATAAATTTGATAATTAATTATTTGCCAGGAAAAAAAGAATTTTTAGTGATTATTGAAATATTATGTTTGGCCAATTAATTGCTCCTTCATTATCCTCTCTTCGAGTTATTAAAATTTAGAATTTGATAAGCATATTCAGACAATCACTGTGTTTTATGCTGTTTTCATTTCTAATCTATGCGCTCTGTAATGAAATGAATTTTGAATTTTATCTATGATTTTTACAAATTAAGTCGACAGAACAGTTTCTGAATTACTGAGAGAAGTTTTATGGTGCGACGTAATCCATTTTTGTTGGCCCATTCTTTCTTCCAAACGGTATGTTTCTAAAAGAGGCTTAATTGCCTCTTTTTTTTCCTACTTACTACTCACTTCAAAGACCACTTAACACTTCTGGTTTGGTTGATGGTATTGAGTGTATAGAATGAGCCTCTGTCTCCACAGATTCATTTAAGGATGAAAATACGGATCTTCAGCTCCACTCGAATTTCATTTTTAGTGACAAGCTTACATCATCAAGCAACAGGAATTGAGTAGACGAAGCAACATTCTACCCGACGATCTAACAATTTGTCTCTGTGGCTAAAATTTTATAAATGATAGAGAAAATCGAAAAAAAAATTTTTATTGTCACTTATCTGAGAAGTCTAATCCTTTCTTATTTCCGATAAATTATGTGAAAAACTTTATTAATCTATTTACCGTGATTTCCTCAGAGTTCTTATTTTTTCTATGAAATCAGTTATAAAGTGGCTAATCTTTTTTCTCTCGTCAGTTTATTTTCGACATCTTCTTGCTGATTGGTGCAAATTGTTGAAATGTTGGATGATTCGAAGAGAAAAGGTTTCCTAAAGTGGTAAGAAATGTCTGAAAGTTGATCTGAAACCTTTTGATTCTTTGCAAAATCTGAACAAAAATTCGTGGGAAATTTTTTTTCCTTTTAAAATTTTGAAAAATTGGGGATAAATTATTTTCAGGAAATTTATGTCAGCGATTTACAATGAAGAAACAATAAATGAATGGTTATTTGAACATGTGGATCCTATAAAAGAAAAATTAGTGGATCGTCTCTCTGCAGTACGAACGCTCTTAAAATTTCGAGTATTTCCAAGAAAAAGTTTTAAAATTCTGAGAAAGCCTCTTTTTTTCTCCTCAAAAAAATGATATTTATCACATGTATTTATCGCACGACATGAAGATAGTTGTGTTCGTCCTCCAAGAATTTAAGCACATAGAACGTGCTATTTTTGATTCTTTCGTATTATCTGACGTTCCCACTTTGTCATTATAGCATTAATTAGAATATTATGGAGTTTAAATAGTCATCTAATATGAAGAAATGGCGTGGATAACGTATGTTTTGTATAACAGTAAATATGTTAATATAAAGTCGTTCCATCCTTTATAATTTTTTTTTTCTACGGTGTTCGTAATATATTAATCACTCGGTAGGATATATATATATATAAATATATATATATATATTTAAACAGCGAAATAGAAAACAAAATGCCATAGGGAAAACCATGCATATGTTCTATATGGAATAGTGATGTTCGAAAAATTAAAACACATAAATTTGACTTTAGTCAAAAATCACCTGTATGATTGAAATTCCGATGGAAATATAAAATATTTTTGGCAGATTACGATTAAGGCCTTTATTGTTATTGCGAGAAATCATTTAATATCACAGGTCTCAGGTTTTTTATAAAATTTATAAGGTCGAAAAAGATTTTTGCTTTATTTTATTCTTTATAACTTATTTGTTGTCGGGTTCTTAATTTTTTTCATTTCATCTAAGCAAAGGAATAATTGTTTTTTAGTGATAAATGCGAACCTTCTCACAAATTAATAACTCTGTTAATTAGGGTGTAAATTTTAAGTGATATTTGCAGTAAATTAATAAAATTTACGAGCTGATTATTCATTGTTCATTGTATAAAGTCATCAAGTCAAATCAAATATGATGGGTCAACTTGCTTTTTTTCTAGTCAAGGAGTTCAGGTAAATAAGAGATGCATCCAGAAACATTTATCACATCATCCATGGTTTATTTTTATCTAGTGGCAATAACTTTCATTTGTCGCCAAATTTTAAAACTCTTTTTGGGTACCTAAAATAACAAATTTTTTGTTATTGAAATATTTAATAATTATACTGGCGAAAATAAGGATAGATCAAAGTTATTGCACAAAATGAAAAGGCACATATACAACATTACTCTGCTGTTTTCCGGGAAATTCCTGGTGCACAATAACTAGTTTTATACGCGTAATGGCTGAGATGTTTTCTCATTTCATTTTTATACGATTTTCCGTCCTTTCATATTGATTTTTATCTCATCAGTACCTTCGTTTTGTTTTCGCTGATCTAAATTAATTATTATACTGACAAAAGTACAATTACTTTTTAATAAGAAATGCTGGGAGAACATATTTTTTCCCATTTCAACTGAAAATTGATGACGTGAATAAATGGAAAATAATGGTAAGAAATATATATATATATATATAAATTTATATGATTTTAACGCTTTGATTCTATTTTAAAAAAATTGCATCAGTTTGATGATAGGAAATAGGAAAATGAGTGTTTTTAGCCCAAACAGTTTACGAAGTGAAAAGAAATAAGCACTAGTAAATATGATAAATATGAACTTAAAGAATACTTTCGGGGTCATAAAAATATAAAAAAATTAAGAGCACAAATTAAAGTTTGTATTCCCATATACCATAAAACCAAAATTCTTCTGTAGAAGGAAATATTTTGTCCAATAACATCTTTTCTCTAAAGTTTCAAATCATTTTTTGTAGTTTTGCCCGACCGAGTTCAGTTGTATTGAAAGTCATGTGATTCATTTAAAAGTCAAAATAATTTACTCATTTCATTTTTTCTAGTATAAATTCTTCAAAATTTTTTAAAAATTTTGCCATATTTTCATATAGAAATTTGTCTGATAATTGCTCTGCTCATAACTTGTCCTTATATAATTAGATAGTAGGAATTTCGACCTTGGTTGATTGAGCCAAAAATCTTTTTAGCAACGCCACTTAACAACTTTTCGTGGTTGATCAGCAATTTCTAAAAAGCGTGAGTTCTAGTCCGTTCCTAAAAAATATACCAAAGAATGCTTGCATCACATTAGGGGGATCCGAATCGTTCATACAATCGAGGATATCGCTGCAAATTCATATTTGGAATTAATTTGCCACTTAAATTTTTAATATTTTAGACATGCTATTAGTACGAATCGTTCTGATTTCTCTACTGGTTGAATTTATTCCAGAATCATTCGCAAAAGTTTGGTGCCCAAAAAACCAAAGTGGATTCATTTTGACTTGTGCTTTTAAATGTTGTAAAAGCGTGGATTCCAGCTATGAGGTATCAATTTTTCGAGAGAGATTTTATGCCTTTATTATAGAATAGGCAATTCAGATTCATGCTTCTTTGTGACTATGGAAAATATTTATAAATATCGTCTTTCTTGGATTCTTGGATTGCTTATTTGAAAAATTTAAATGTACGATAAGTATTAGCAAATGATATTGAGTTTTCAAAGGAACTCTCTTTAAAAAAAGGCTTTAAAAGAAAGAAAAAGCTTGCAATAAAATTGAATATTTTAGTATTAAGTAATATTAATGCTATTTACGAATTTGGTCAATTAACAGAAAGTAAAAATGAAAATTGATGTTTAGATAAATTTCCATGCGGCATAATTGATAAATCAAATATTACGGTTAAATTTTGTTAAAGTAGAAAATTCTTATCTTATTTATTTTTTAGGATTATTATTGTTGCGATTTAGATGATCAAACTTTAGTTGATGAAAATACGATTGAAAGCGATGGCTCGCAATCTTCGCGGTCTGAAAGATTCGTTGCCTACACTTCAAATATGCCAAATATTCAGTACTCTTTATTAGATAGACAGATGCTCGAGCAATTATTGTTTATTCGAATTTTTTGCAAATCAAAACCTTACTTTTGATTATTCTTTATTTTAATTTTCTGATAAATTATAATGAAAATCTATCGTTCGAAATTCCCAACTAAAACTTTCGACGATCTTTATTGTCCTTACTGCGTATAAAATAGCACTAATGTATTTCGATAATGGCTCGCTAGCACCTCACCATTAAAATAAAAGTTAAAAGCAGTTATTCACAAACAGAAAGATTATTTTTCAAATTATTTCGGTGACGATATTAGACTAAAAATTTGAGAATAAAGCTTTTTTCTCCGGGGCTGATATCGTACTGATAAAATAGGATTTGCAAATTGTTATCTTCTTTTTTATATTAAACCTATTTATATTAAAATTTATGTAAACACAATATAATGGCGTTAAAAAAACAAAGATATGTTTTTTCGTTATAGGATCGACTACACACTCCTTATAATTGGATTAATAATTAGTATCGTATTGAGTGTATTGTGTTCATTGTTTTGTTGTCTTCTATGTAACGGTTGTTGGTTACATCGTCGAAGAAATCCTCAAATGTACGAATCAGTTCAGGAAACAGGATTTTACCCACTTTGCTGTTAGTATTTATTGTTTTAATCGGCATAATTTAGATGCTTAATTTTTGGTTTTGCAGGTGGTTTTGGTATACCTGTGGGTACAGTGGTATTCAGTACTCATCCACCGCAATTCCGCGATGAAAATGAACTATATCATGGATCGTCAACATCATCAATAGCGAATCGTGGCCGAGTGAGATTTCATGAAGATGGTACATCAAAAGGTGTATTAAAACCAAATTCCTTGCAATAGTTGCTCCCAGAATAATTCAAAGTCGTTTCATTTATATGCCTTATAGCCATGTTGAAGCAAATTTAAAGGCGGCATTGTATTTGTAAACGCATATTTCAGCGATCACAATAGTTTTTATATGTTCTATCATTTATTTTTGTAAACGATTCATCATTTAATTTCTCTTAATTTTTGTCGTAATTTGTAGCGAATAAGTGTTTTCAACTGTGATTTTCGATAATTTGTGCTCTAAATAATGAATTGTTGATTTCTGATCAGATTTCTTCTTAACATTTACAAAAAATAAGAAAGAACAAACGAAAATTATCTTAATCCCCAAATGAAACTGGTTGTCATATCCAAGAAGAATTTTTTCAAAAAAGAAATTTAGGAAAGAATGAAATAAAACAATGAATTAAATGGCGAAGAGATAAATTTAACGAAGATAGCTGTGGTAAATTTCGCTTCTCAATCGAAATATCATAATAAAAGAGAAAAAATGAAAATACATTAAGGTGTTACATATGCAAGGAAAATTCACTCTGTCGTTTAGCAGACCAATTTCAATGAATTGGTTATCGGATTGTTATTGGCATAACCCCAGCTTTGGGCTAGGAAAGTGGAATCAGAATGAATAGATGTCAGTCTCGCTTACCGCACTTCTAATTTCTCATGAAAAAATTTTCTATTTTGTTTTGAGCTAACTCTTTTAACTCGTTTCTAGCCTTTCGTAAAATTATCAAAATTTTCCCCTGGACCTTAATTTATTAAATTCTAACAATTGGTCAGCGTCACTTCTGATTTTTTTTGCTGCATGTTCTCTCACAAATTATTTATAGTCGATATTTTCAAAATGAAATTTGGAAAGATGTTCGGGATTATCTAATTTTTTGGTTAGAACTGCTTTTTTCTTCGTCTTTATATGTCTTTATATGCTGGTAGTATGCTGTAAATATTCGATTTTTTTCGTATTCAATGGTTTTAGCCTAAATTTTCAATTTTCTTTTTTAAAGAATAGTATAATTTGGAGCAAAATATATAATTTAATATGGATAATTTTTTAAAAATATTTTTCAGTGAACTTCGGGAAAAATTACATGAAATTTCTTAATATGTTATTTATCCTCAAAAATATCAAATAATTTTGCACACAAAGCCGGCGCTTTTCTGGGACAATACATTACTGTAACCTATAGGTATTATTTTTATATACAACATCAGATATAACGCTAAGGATGCCGAATGGAATGCTACTTCAGAATTTCAAATCTAACGGCTCTGAATACGTTAAGGATAACTATTGAAAATAAAATTTTTCTAAATTTTTTTTTATATTATTTTCCTTTTCTAACAAAATCCGCCATTTTTAATTTGACTGCCTCCATTGACTACTTATGATGTGTTTTTATTAGAGAGACAATTAAAGATAGAAGGATTCTTCGACCCCACTCGCTTCATTTACATTATCATTAGCTAATAATAAATATTTGATTTGACGAAGGCCTTAAAATTATAATCGAGAAGTAATGTGGCTACGAAAGACGTTAATCAATTTTTGAAATGAACCCCGTCTGTCAGCCAACATCATGACGTATTTTGTTTCACTGTTGCATTAAAGAGTAAAAGAGTTGGTAAAGTTAAAAACCGCTCTTATTTTTCAGCATTATTAAATATGAGTTTTCGTCAGCTGAGTTGTATGAGTATGCATGCATTTCCTCTTATCAATTTGCTGCATGTTTCTTCAACGATTTAATTAGTTCTCTGTAGATTTTTTTCTAATTTTTTAAGAAATTTTGTAAGAAAGATCGCTTCAATGTTGCTAAGTTATGTGTTCTTCGATTATTACCTCAAGCATTACGATTCGGCTGATGCCTCTGAAATATCATTAATATCACAAAAGATTTGGCTGATGCTCCTCCTGATTTTAAATGTATTAACGAATTTTCTTACTTGAATGAATTATATATTTATTTTTTATTCGCGAATTCAGATTACGAAATATTTGTTAATTGAATCGCTCTTAAAAAAGCCAATTTTGTTATATTTTAATCATTTTTTATTCAATAAATCTATAAATGAAAGCGAAAGAACGTGAACTTTTTGATAGCAGCTTAGATAAATAGATAAAATAGCAAATATTGAACAATTTGGATTGAACGTGGACTTTTGGAAAATGCGCACATCTATTACCACTTATTCCAGGCCTTTTTCTGTGATCTGCACTTAATCTTGGGGAACGCTCTACTCGATTAAAAGTTTCTTAGAGCAATTGAAGGTGATTGTTAAGAGGTTAACTATTTTGTTTATGCGAAAATTAGGACTGATTTCACTGAAAAATATTCAAATAATTTCTATTGGCATGTTGCTTATTGAAAGGAAAAATTATTGATAAGAGAGCATTATTATTATATTGGCCAATAATTAAACGCTTCGATATGACGCTTTTTCCTATATTTCCTATATGTCAATGCGATCGGTTTCATTGACATCAGTTTCAAATCTTTTTCCTTGTTTGTTCTTCCCAAATTTTCATTTTATCACTCATCTTCTGTTGATTTTATTTAACTCTTGTTTTCATCAAAGCAGTATTAATCTCGATGCTTTAAGATATTTTGATATGATTCGTCTCTTATCAAGTTATTACTTATCAAATTTCGCTTTTCTTATTAAAAAAAATTCACATTTTCTTTTTATAATATGCTTTTAAAGGAAGGGCAATCAAAAACTATAAATCCAACGAATAATAACTATTTTTTATAATAAAAATCAATCCCTAAATAGGTTATCATTCATGTTTACATATATACCTCATGATACCATTCATAATATATATACTTTAATACATACTTTTCTCGAAGAGCGCTCATTATTTCTGGTTAAGCTCGATCCTATGGCTTGTCAGACCAGGCCAATTCTGCCAGAGAGTCGCTCGGTGATAGAAATATAGGTGAGTCGCCAGTATAACTTGGATTTTTGGAGGGCATATTTACTCATGCCAGTATTCCGAAATGGCGCATAATAATTTAATTACGCTTTTTTCAGATTTTCCTCTTTTTTTTCATCTTCCTTCTCTATTTTCTTCTTCATGGTATGCTTCGATTTTAGATATTAAAGATCCAGTTTTTATACCTCAACAAGAATGAGTTTGTCGTGTGGAAAATTTTATCTCAAAATTCGATGGAAATATGCGTTATGCGTTAGAGGAAGTGGAACTGACATAAAATTTTCAATTTCTTGGTTTTAAATTTCAATTTGTCGCCTTCTTAAAAAATTTTTTGAATAGTTGTTTTTGTTAAAATTGTTTATTTGAAGTTGTTTTATTTTGAAAAAAAGTTTCGAAAATTTCTTAAAATTGTTTCAAAAGTAATTGTGTTGGATTTTTAGAATAAATAGTGTAATTGTTAAATTTCCCATCGAATCTTGTCCTCTTTTTTGCTTTTTTAATTTTTATACTAATAAATGTATAATAAAATAATTATCAGCGAGCGAGACATTTATGAAATTTTTCTCTTCGTTAGAATATATTAAGCTATGGAATTCATTGCGAAAATGGTACCTATTAACGCAAAATTTTTCAGACTACATTTATAGAATTATTTTTTCTTTCGAAAAATCGATTCCATACTGATTCTCATTACTGATTCTCATTTGGTTTCTTATTTATAGGGTAGCAGAAGATATAGCTATGTAGAACAAATCCTTGTCTAATTATTAATTTTTTTTTTTAAGAGTTTTCACAGGTTAAACATGTTCCGTTGGCTTGTCGCACTGGACAAATATGCCAAGAAACCCCTTGGCGACAGAAATACAGATGAGTCGCCAGCATTACCCGGATTTTTGGACATGCCAATGTGACAAGCCAGCGAATCTTTAAAAAAAAAATTATTAAATGCAATAATGAATGGCAATAAATATAAATATAAATGATAAGTATGGCAAAAATGCTAAGAAATATTTTATCATCGGTATCATCGAATGAGAAAAAACACTTTGCATTTCAGCGAATATTTCCTATAATTAAACTTATTATTATTCCATTTTCTGCAATTTTTTTTTTGTTTTGAAGGACATTTTGAACGAAAAAAGAATGCTTTCATTCGAATTTAAGAAAGCTAATGTTGAAGATCATTATTTGTGCAAAATTATATTTCATATATTATTGACCATTTATCCTATTTAACGAATCGTTTTATAAAATTTAACAAAAGTAGTTTTGAGTCAAAAATAGTTTGAAGCTATTTTTCTCTTAAATCTCACTTCGATATTTTTCGCCATTATTAGTTTATTTTAGATTTTTTTGATTAAACCATTTCTTGAACCATTTGTTGCCAAAATAAATAAATCGCGACAAATTCGAAAAAAAAACTGAACTTTCAGCTTTTTTTTTACCTGTTTACACTTTTATCATTCATTATCACCTTTATTTATTATCGAAGACCTTCTTGTCATTATCCAATCACCCTACCATTTTTTATTTTTTTATTGTTGTTTTCTAATCCTTCACAACTATTTGATTATTTTTTATCCTTTAACTTGTATTTTTTATGCTCGTATCCAATAGTTTTTCTTGAAATTTTCAAATTTGTTGGAGTTTCAAAAATCATTGTGTAAGATATTCTTTATTTTCTTCATGTCCGCATAATTTTTATTTGATTTGTATTCTTTTGTTTACATTTTCTTGAGTATTCAAGTGATAATACTTTATTTTTTAATCTTTAATTCATGCAAAAGTTTTTAATTTTATTTTTTATTTCATACTAATTTTTTTAATGGCATAAATATTAATTATTTAAAGGTTAAAGACTTTAAAATATTTTTAATGATGACCGCCGTTTGAAGTGAGTGAATTTGGCATTTTCGCATTAATTAATTAATGTGAAAAAGAGAAAAATAAATTTTATTCTTATGGCAGATCTTTTTTTGATTCATCTGTGATTGTTAAAATCCCATATATATATATTTCTCTCATTCATTTCTTTTTTTAAAGTTATGTTTTCAAAGATTCTTCTTCTTCTAACAGC